TTCTTTTTTTTTTGTTAATTCGTTGTACTTTTGTTTTAAAAGAACCATCCATAGAAAAAGAGGGTGAGAGAGTTTGTCGAAACGTCGACATATGTTTAGGTTATGTTTATTTAGACATGCTTTTTTTATATAAAATGCTTAAATTGTGTTTTGGTCTCTTTGAACTGGAGGAAGCTGTTTAAATTGGGCGGTTTTTGAAACAAATGTTGTATAGGAAATTTGTTGGCTGTTTTGTGTTTCTTTTGATTTTAGATGTACGTGGGGTTGAGTGTTGCTGAGATTTTATATTTTCTATAGTTCTTATTTGCACATTATTTAAGTCCTTCTTCCATTAACAGGATATAAAAAGTTCAAGTTTATTAGCAAGTTTCCTGTCACAACCGGGAAAAAGGTACTTACAAGCGAAAAAAAACCCGTTCACTTCTCAAAGACACATCCTTTGCTCAATTTTTTATACTGACCAAATTATCAAGCGGAACTTTTATCAACGTTGAGGGCGTAAGTAAGATTCACGTTTACGCTAAACGGCACACGTGATTTGTACCACGTGACCAAGTTTTCCCCTTAATTATCGTTAAATGTTTATTACTTCAACTAAAAAGAAGTAGTTTCACGCCAGCTTTATACCTAAGAATTGTTCTGGACAGCTTTTACCTGCTTTTTTTCTATTTTGAGAAATTCTCAACTTGAATCTGACGTTTGACGTAAACGTGAATCTTAGTCTCTCTACTAAGCATCGCGTTTACGGCAAACGGAAAACGTGTGATTCGAGATGAGAAATTTTCAAAATGAAAAAATGAGCACGTAAAAACAGCTTAAAACAATTCTCATGGATAGATTTGGCGTGAATCTACCGAATTTCGTGTAGTTGTAATGAATAGTAAACGAACTTGGTCACGTGGTACAAATTCACGTTTTGCCGTTTGCCGTGAACGCGATGCTTAATCTCTCTGATATTTAAAGCGCAAAGAGCCGTGTTTTATAAAATTTAAAAACCAGAATCGCCGGTTTCTTGTGGACGGGACCTTAACTGGAACATTTAACTTATGGATATTTGAAATTATAGAGTATAATTTTTTAAAAACTGTTTCGTCAATAGGGCCTCGCATCAGCCCCAAGTTATGGCGCTGACTCTGTTTCGAGGATTATGGTTGTTTCTCATTGGATTATCCCTGTTTGCAATGATACTTAGTCGTCTCCCGAGATTTTACAGTTACCACAAGTCAGTGTCATTAGAGACCACATACTTTGAAGGTAAGACTGATACCTGCTAACTGTGCAAGAAGGATAAACGCATGCGCACTGTAAGAACTTTAAGCAGTCTTTTTTTTCTTAGTTCATCGAGCAAAACGCGCGAGACACGAAAATGTGTAAACGCACTGTAAAGACTTTGAGCAGTCTTTGTTTTCCTTAGTTCGTCGAGCAAAACGCGCGAGACACGAAAATGACCACGCGCATGACTGAAGGCGCGAGACGGGGGAGACACGAAAAAAGGTAGACTCTCTCTTTTCTTCTACGCTACCGCCCTCGCTTCTCGCGTCTTGCAGCTTTCCTGCTCGACGCTAGCGCTTACGTGCACTCCCCTCGCTAAATCTAAAGAAAAAGAATTACTGCTGCTCGCAGTCAGTGGTAAGTCAAGTGGATTCTCCAATTTCGTTCTCAGAATCCTCTCACCTTCTTCGTTTCCATCTCTCACGATTAGCAGGGGACGCTGGGAACGATTAAGCTTTGATAGAGTTTGCTCGAAAAAAGAGCAGAATATACTTCTGGCAGTGCTGGTGCATTTCTACAATTATGCTAATAATTATGCTAGTTTTAATAAATTATGCTCATTTTAGCAAAATATGCAAAAATTATGCTTCTACTTTTTACTTTAAATTTGGCAAAAACATCTCAATAACTATACAGCAAACAAATAAATGGCAAGCACATTTATCCGTTTTAAATGCAGAAAAAAAATTTAAGGGTGCATAATTCATTCTCTGAAAACTATAAATATTGAAACAAAAAACCAGCACACGGACGCCATCTGTGATAACCGAGCTAGTCAGTTATGCGCATGCGTTGAGTCCTATGTAAAGAGTCCTAAGTCACTTCCTGTGGGAACCAGGTCCTATGAATGCGACAATAGGCAGAAAATTGATTTTGTTACTCAAATTTGCCCGTAACTCTTATCTCGGTTCAAAAAAATTAGTTTCACGATCAATAAATGATAATTTTGCTCTGCAAAACTAACCAAAAGTGCAAATTATGCTAGCAGTGCTTTCTTCCGGGAAATACATGACGAATTGTGCCAAAAATTATGCCAGCAAAATTTATCAAAACCTAGGAACTATGTTGGTGGTTTCTCAGGGGTAAAAGGGGCAACTCATAAACCTGCCAACTGCCCACTCCAGAAACTATCAGGGGAATGGAATGCATGGGTGTACAAGCTTTTGAAAAAACGATTTCTGGGAGCGGACAAGCGTCGCTTATGATTGGTCAATGGCTGCCTTGAATACCATCGACCAATCATAACTAACGCTTGTCAATCCAAACTATCCCAGAAAGCACTGCACTCAAAGTTTGTACCCATTCTCCCTAGACTTTGTGAAGTGGGAAATACAGGTACCCTTTCAAATAAAACAAGCGTACTTTGCTAATTGCATTTTTTCTAACAGTAAAAACTTCAGATCCTCTATGCATACATTTCTTATATATCAAACCTGCCAGCAGAACCTTTCTTTCGCTTGCTCGATTTCGGCGAACTCGTGAAAGATTCTGCTTGAATCGAATGAGATCTTTGTTGAGCATGCGCTGCATGTTGCTAGGATACAGTCTCGAACCCAGGCTTAATAGTCGTGCGCTTGGCTCAGCGGGCTCAGCTATGACCATCGGGTTTATCCATAAACGGATGATTGAGCCCGGGGAGGGGGGTACTCCGGATTTCAAGTGACAGGTATGATCGAATGGGGGCAAATATCAAAACCCAAAAAAATCCCTAGGGTTTCAAACGAAACCCCCAAAAATCCCTGGACCACAATTTAACCCCAAAATAATCCCATGCCGAATTTCCAAGCCGTAAAAATTTATTTATACGTGGGAACTATCAAGAATCTTCAGATTGTTTTGAATACGCGAAAACATCCCTACTTAAATCAAGCAAACCAAAAAAATACTTGCCAAAATTTTCCACCTCAAAAAATCCCCGAACTCGAGAATTTCGAACCCCCAAAAAGTCCTTCGATCGCCCCTGTCACTTGAAAGGTTGCATGCTCTCGCCAACCCTTTTTAACCTTTATCTCAGTGACCTTTCAGAGAAACTTAAGGCCAAGAACGTAAATGACGTAGAACTAAACGAGTTACCGTTAAGTTGTATGCTCCACGCGGATGACTTGGTCATATTCTCCAAATCAAAAAACGGACTGCAGGATTATTTGGATTCCCTCAGTGAATACTGCAAAGAAAACGACTTGTCGGTTAACCTTAATAAAACTAAGGTGTTAATTTTTAATAACTGCGGGAGAACCATGAATAAGCATGTATTATACTATAGAGGCAGTAAACTTGACAATGTTAACAATTACAAATATCTTGGCCTACAATTTAGTACTTATGGGACCTTCACGTACGCTAAACAGGAAATAAAGAAGGTTGCCCTTAAAGCTTTGTACAAACTCAGGAAGGAAATGGGCGACCATTTCAGAGATGATGTACAGCTCACAATGAAAATTTTTGAAACGGGTATTTCCCCGATACTCACCTACGGAAGCGAGGTCTGGGGGGTCGATCACGACGGAAAGCTAGAAAATGATCCAATTGAGTTTGTTCAAACAAAGTTCATAAGGTGGCTATGGGGAGTTAACAAATTCTGTCGTTAAAATGCGTGCAGATCGGAGGTAGGCCGTTTCCCAATGCGAACGAAGACAAAGTGCAGAGCCATTAAATATTGGCTGAAATTTTGTGAGCCGGAGCACTAAAATTAACTCTCTGGGATAGCATTTACAGACCAAATTGGTCAAGATAAAAAGGAACTTTGGTCAAGCAAATTAAAACGACTATTAAATCTCGCAGGTCTTGGCGACATATGGTCAGCGAAAACTAACACTCCCGCAATCATGAACTATATACGACAGAGACTCTTAGACATTGAACAGCAAACATGGATTAGCGAAATACACAATGATGAACGAAAGGACCCGCATCAAAAAAACAAACTAAGAACTTTTAGGAAATTTAAACTTACCCATGACTACGAAAATTACCTCACAAATGTAAGAAACATCAATCATAGAGTAGCAATCACAAAGCTAAGATTAAGCAACCACAAACTAGCAATTGAAACTGGACGATACGTTAAACCCTATCAGCCACCAGACCAAAGAATCTGTCCATTATGTAAAACTGGATTAGAAGACGAGGAGCACTTTTTGATGAATTGCATAGCTATAGGGATCCTAGGAGAGAGCTGTTCAATACGCTAAAAAAGGAAACTAATCTTATTCTTGACTCTATGACTCCAAGCTCTGCCTTTACAACGTTTATAAGTATGAAGCAAGGAGAGAAAACGCAAAAAATTGTGGCTAAATACGTATCTGATCGCTTCCGCGAAAGAGATAGACGCGTTAAATATAACCTTGTTTAATAGTTGTATAAATTTTACAAATGTACACCTCTGTAATTATTGCACGAAAATCTTTGTTATCGTGGTAAACACATGTGTCTGTATGCGCTCTGTTGATAATAAAGCACTTATCCTTATCCTTATCCTATCCTTGAAATACGGAGTACCCCCCTCCCCCCCACCCCGCTGGGGCGTGCGCTCGAATAAGCTAGCTTGGTTGGAGATAACAAGATTGACTTGTCCAGAATTTCAGGGGCTTAACGCGAATCACCAGAACCTCCTTTTCTCCTCCTCTTTAAAGAGGACAAAAGGAAACTCTGTTCTCATGCAGGGCGTTCATTATCTTAGACAGTCAGGGAAAACTTGCTCTTTGTTTTTCTTCCGTCCAGATAAAACTATGCTGAAGGTGAACACGGCAATGATGACCTACAATAAAAGCAGTATTCCAACAACCGAGCGATACCAACCAACGTACACTGCACCAAATATCTGTGGCAAAAAATGGCAGTCACAATATCGAGCGCTTCATGAGGATATCATTAACAATAAACGTGAGCCAAAATTCTTAGTGTACGCTTGTCCAAGGTCCAATAATGGTTGCTGCGGATATGGCAATCGCGTTTACGCTCTGGTTTCCTTGTTCTATTTAGCAGTTCTTACAAACCGAGCTTTTCTGATCGACTGGAGGGCTCCCAGACCATTAAGACTCTTCTTGAAGCCGAATAATATTAATTGGAATTTTCCCGCTCCACGTTTGGAAACGCGAAAGCATTATTGGAGGACTGGAGGGGAGGCAAGTAAAGATCGGGAAGGATGGCTAATAAAAAACACGACGGCGTTTGTTTCTTGGATTGGAAGCGAAAATGTGCTGAATTATTTGGATAAACCAGTGGAGATAGCGACGTCGATTCTGTTTTTCGCTCATAATGGTATAAGGAAGAATAAATATTTAATGAGGCAAGCGCGGAAGCTTAAACTACGCCCCATATTACCAGGCTCTCGTAAATTTGATATGATAGGATGTGCTTGGGATATGCTTTTTCGCCCAACGAAACGCTTACAAAACGCTCTTGAAATCACCAGAAAAGCTCTTCGTGAAAACGCAGCTTTCGTCATAGGAATTCACATTCGTCTAGGAGATCAAGAGTTTGGACGAAACAACACCAGAGTATCTAATTTCCAGCAATTTTTTTCTTGCGCAAAAAAAGTCGAACGCAAAACTTTTAATCACTATAGCAATACTACCAAGAAGAAAACACGTTGGTTTCTGGCAACTGACAATGTATTAGTGAAAGATTATGCAAGAAAATACTATGGTAAAAAAGTGATAATGGATAACAACAATCCAGAACATCTAGATTTCCACAAAAAGCACGAAAAACATTCAGTGGAGGGAATGTTAGGAGTTTTACACGATCATTACATGTTGGCGGAAAGTGACTATCTTATTCTCTCTGAAAGTAGCTTTAGTAATACAGCGGTTGGGTTAGGCATGCATACAAGCAAGACTTACACACTTGGAGATAAGTGTGACTTGAATGAAGATGGTCCGGAGTTAAAGACTTAATATTTGTGAAGAAGAAAAATGCGCAGTTTTAGGTATACTGAATTGAAAGAGGATCAAAGGTAAACTATTGTTGCTCCCCGACTTGCAAACTGTTGTAACCGTTCATCAGTGGGATACCAAAATACATTTCGTGGAATTCCACGATCGATTGGTTTGGGCTTCATTAAATCTTACACACTTGGAGATATGTGTGGTCTGAATGTACATGATTTCTAATCCTTGGTGAGATCCAAGATGACGGCCAAGATGGCGACCATGTTTGGTGACGTCACAGGCTTCCAGCGGCGCCACCACCCATAAAATATACCTCATCTTGTAGAGAATGCAAATTATCTCCGGTACGGAGTATAGGAGATAATGACTTTCTACGTGTTATTTCTTGGGCATGTTGGTATTATCACCCCTTATTGGTGTTAGTTAATTATCTATTGTGCTATGTAGCTATATATATTTGTTAATGTATGCTGTTTGTCACTCTCGCTCCAGTACGCTGTACCAGGCAGATAATTTTTTGTTAGGCACAAGAAGACGCAAGATGCCCCTTCCGGGACCAGATGCTCCCGATTTGCGAGAAGAAGGTTCTTCTAACGCTGGTTCTGATGGTTTTCATTCTTTAGTGCAGCAGGCTGTAGCTGATTCGATGGCTTCCGTTACCATGCAGATATCGTCTTTAATCGACTCCCGCTTCGACAACTTTAAGAAGCAGTTCACGGAGGAAAATTCTTCATCAGTTGAGGCAGCCGTTAAACGTGCGAAGCGCGCTCGTTTTGTTTTCCAGAGCAAAGGAAACGAGCAGCAGTTTGAACATGCCGAATCTGTTTTGGACAAGCTCGAGAGTGCGA